AGAGTGTGCTTACTCTATCAGAGGATTGGGAACATCAGCACTGGGGGCAGCTTAACCACAAGGTCCCACTCCCACAGAGTCTGTGAGCACAAAGGAGATGAGAGAAACCAAAGAAAGACAGTGTTGGAGTCTGCCAAGAGGAATGGGCAATTCAGAGTGCATAGGTCAAGCATGGTGGGATCCAAACACAGGTCTCTGGTGACTTTTCAGCCAGAAAGATTCAGTCAGGGCTGTGACCTATGAAAACAAGTAACACTTAAAACGTGATGTTTTTTACTTAATCAGAGAGGACAACGACCTTTATGGTTCAAAACAGGCACAAGCTGCTAATAGTGCTTTTAAAGAGGCAAGAGGACTTGCCAGAGGGAAAGCTTTTATAAATGTGCAACTTTAAGCCATCTTAAAAGAATATGTGTTTTCACAATATGTTTTGGTCTGAAGTATGTAAAAAGAGAAAAATGTAAAAATGTCACGTGACAACTTACAGGTTTGAACATATCAGGGTCAGGAAAATACTTTGGATTCCTGTGCAACCAATACGGAGAAATCATCAGCATGTCGCCAGCTGGGATGGTGAAATTCTAAGAAGGAGAAAATACTCTGAAGCAAAGAAACAGAACTGCACATTCAGCTGGGTGCTCCCAAAACTTTCCAGCCTGAGTCTTTTGAGTTCACCAACAAAAGGTCTTGCTGGAGGACTAGTGAAGCCAGTAAGGGAGTTTAAGTGTGTGATATCATTTTGTTGTGTCCTTATTACTGTATTTACTTGATGCCAACATGAGGGTTTTTCCCCCCCATTTAACATAAGGGGAAAAAAAATCCTTATCTTGGAATAAAATGTGAGGTGGCTGGGGCAGGCAGCTGTTGCAGCTCTGTCTCTCGTCTCAAGCCTGGCTTGCGGCCAGAGCCACTGCTGCTGCCTCTGCAACCCCTGCTGTTCTTCCCTCCCAACCTCAGGCCCCCACTGCTCCCTGTCTCAGGGGAAGGAGGGCAGGGACCCAATGCTGAGGAGGGAGGAAGGCACAAGTAGGGGCAAAGAGTGGGACTGGGGAAAAGCTGCCAGTCCCCTTTTTGCCTACACATAACCTACCCACTACTACCTGTCCACTATTGCTCCCTCCACTCTTACTTTCTCCCCCCATTACTGCCCCCCCTCACTGTCTGAAGTAGGGGGCTGGAGCGGACCCAGAGGGGAGCAGGGGGGCACTGGTGCACTTGCACGTCCCACCTTTGATTCCTGTTCCACCCAAAGTTTAAACCCAGCTGCCTGACAGTGGCAGCAACATTTCTGTCCAGGCAGCAGTGAGAGCATCAACTGAATTCTTGGTTCATTAAAATCTACCTAATTCCTTCTAAACTCTTCCTTCCACAGGTGTTAATGAACTTCTTCCTTTTTTAATGGTCTTGATGTTCCACAGCAGCAGTGAGCTAGAAATGCTAATGTGGTTGAGAGAGGCTATGACAGCAGAAAACACAGTAATAATGGGGGACTTCAACTATCCACAAACAGACTGGGTCAATCTAATATCAAGCCAGGATGCAGAGACCAAATTTCTTGAAGTTATAAAAGATTGCTTCCTTGAACAGTTGGTCCTGGAACCTACAAGAGGAAAGGCCATTCTTGGCCTAGTCCTAAGCAGTGCACAGGATTTGATGTAAAGGGGAAGTGTTACTGAGCCGCTTCTCTGGTACTGTGAAACAAAGCAGCTAGGAGCAGGCCTTCCTGACTAGACCCAGAACTGATTGAGTTCCACCAGGAAAGGCTTGATGAGCTAACTGTAGCCACTCCGGAGGGAAGAGTTAGCTCGGAGGTGCCCTATTGCGAATTTGGTGGAAGTAAAAGTAACTGTTGAGTACTCTGGAGCGGCAGGAGGCTGAATAGTTTACTCGAAGGCAAAGGGGACTCCAAGCCTTTGTTTATCCAGTGATGTCCAGTGGCCCTGCAGCTGAATGGTAGGACTAATGAGTTAGGGTGCACCCCTTCCTGGGTACAGAAAAGGAAGATGCCTGGTTGAAATCCCATAAATGTTGGATACGAAATTGAAAATTGGGGAACGTGTAAACACTGTGTCCTGGACAGTGCACTCAAGGGTGTTACTGTCTGAGGGGGATGGAAACCCAGAGTTAAGGCTGCAGATCTGGACACCTGGCCAGGTGTGGTAAGGAGCAGGGTGTAGGGGTGGGAGGAACCCTGCGAAGAGAACTGCCCTTAGGCAGGTGGATCTTTGTTCCTCTCCTAACATCCAAAGTCCTTATAATTTTAAACAATAAGGCATGACAGGAAAGAGAGAGAGAGAGAGAGAGAGAGAGAAGGTGGAGGCGGAGACCCGATAGGCCTGGAAAAGAGAGGCAGTCCCTGCTGCACCCTCTTACAACTGGTGTATTGGCTGGGAAATGAAACTGAGACCAACTCAAAGACAGCAGGAGGAATACTATGAAATGGATGTGAACCAGACTACAACCAGGTTAGGGGCACTGCAGGATTGGCAACAAGCCCACAGACTGGTGCTACAGCTGTTGCCAACAAACTCAGAGAGAGGAACTGGTTCAGGTGAGGACCAAGGAAACTGAGGCACAGATCATGCTTCTAGGAATTAAGTGAGAAGACTGAAGCCCAACAATCAGCAATGATTCATGCCAATGAAGGACTAAGCATGCCAAAGATGATGCCCAGGGATAATGTAGAGGTTTCCTTAGAGTCATTTGAGAGAGCAGCATTGTTGGCTGGGTGAGACAGAATGCGATGGGCCAGTCAGTTAGGCCCCCTGTTAATAGGTCCCATCCAGATGGAGGCAAGTGATTATGGAAACGTAAAGACCATGATATTGTATCAATTGGAAATCTCACCAGAATACTATCAACAATGGTTTAAGGCCAAAAAGAAGTGAGAAGATAGGTAAACCCAACTTCTGGCCCAAGTACTGGGGGCTCTATTAGAAAGGTGGATACAGACAGAAGAAAAGACCTTAACAGAGGTTTTGGATCTGTTCACCTTATTCCTTGCAGATTTGGAAGAAAACACTCAAAGGTAGGTCTGGAGGCATCAACTTCAGACTATGGAAGAAGCTTTACATCTGGCAGAGGTCCTCATGATTGCCAAAGGGGACACCTGTAAAGAAAGAACCACAAGGACTGCGACCCTGATGGAGTAAATCAAACATCAGGGGACATTGATAAAGAAAGTGGAGTCACCCCAGAGTCAGCTCAGACCATTCGGAGGATTGGGATTCCAAGAAATTGTCTGTTACCGGTGTGGAGCCCCAGGGCACATGGCCTGAAATTGTCTTCAGAGAGTACGAGAAGGACAGGCATGGGAGGAGACTCACTGAAATCAGGACGGATAGATCCCAGAAAACCATCATGAAAAGAAGATGGACTGCAATTTCAAATGACAAAGGGGATCAACATAGATCCCAAAACCAATGGTAGACAAAAAATTGGGGGCCTTGATAATACCAGCTGTTGTGGACACTGGTTGTGCCCAGACAATGATGAAGGTGGATTTAGTACCCTCTCAACTGGGTGAAGAGGACACCTCTGTCAGTGTGCTGTGCATGCATGGAGAGACTTATACTTACTGGAGGCAGCATCTACCACTGACTATAATGGGATGAACAGAGGAGTTACTGGTAAGGATAACTCAAAGGCTGCCTTGCTCCATGCTTCTAGGATGAGATTGGCCTCATTTACATGAGGTGCTCAAGCAAGCACTTGGGATAAGAAATCAAGAGCTAAGGAAAAGAAGGGACAGAGGGCACACAAATCGAGGGGCTAACTAATGATGATCCAGGTCTGGCAATGGAGAGAGAACAACCTGAAGTGCTAGGTTTGGGTAACAGCATTAGACAGGAACAATTCTGGGAAGAGCTGGCTGAGGAACCCACCTTTGTTAATGTATAAGATGGGGAAGAGTGAAGAGAGATGAGGTGGTGCTGCGCCGTGAGTTAGCTGACCCTTATCCAAATGTTGAGGTAAGAGACAGCATCCTTTACTAGACAGAATATGGGCAGGTTGAAGGGGAAGAGGTGGCACAGGTCTTGGTGGTGCCCCAAAAATACCAACTTGCCTTACTGCGAATAGCCCATATGCTTATATGGGTGGACGTCTTGGGAGGGATAAAATGGAGGCCCAGTTGACACAACAGGTTTACTGGCCAAGACAACAGGTTTACTGGCCAAGACTGCATAAGCAGGTGGATAGATTTTGTCAAGGGTGCCCGGAGTGCCAGAGGGTCTCTGATATCATGCCCCCTAGGGCTCCTCTGATATTCATGTCCGTTGTAGAACGGCCCTTCGATGGGGTAGCTTTAGACATTGTGGGACCCTTCCCAAAGAGTACCACTGGTTACCACTTTGTCTTAGTCATCCTTGATTATGCTACAAGATACCCTGAGGCAGTTCCCATGAGATCTATCACCACCCCCAAGGTAGCAGAGGAATAAATCAAATGGATCTCCAGAATGGGGATACCACAAGAACGGGTCAAGGGACAAATGTTATGTCCAGGGTATTAAGGGGAGTGTGTGAGACCCTGAAGATAAACCAGTTGCAAACCTCCATGTACCATCCTCAGACAGATGGCTTAGTGGAGCATTTTAATCAAACTCTGAAAGGGATGATCAGGACATGCATACAGGGAGACCCCAAGAAATGGGACCTGTTCATACCACTCCTGCTGTTTGCCATGCTGGAGGTGCCCCAGGCATCAATGGTCTGTTCCCTGTTCAAACTGGCCTATGGTCATCAACCCAGGGGCCTCTTGATTGTGGGGTGAGATTTTGAGTGTGTAAAGTGTGGAACTCATTGCTACCAGGTGTTGTGGGAGCTGACAGTTTATCTAGATTCAGAAAGGGATTGGACAAATTCTTGGAGGAAAGGGGCATCAGGAGCTATTGAGCACAGGAGTTAAGGATACAGCCTTTGAATTAGAACTTCTGAGACTTCAAACGCTGGAGGCTGCAAGTGAGCGAGGAGGAATGGAAAAACAAAACCCTGGTCATATGTAGTTCACTCTCCCTTTCAGCATCCATTCTCTCCCACTGTGGGCCCCTCTACACATGCCAGTAAAGGTGCGATAGGATCTAATGCACAATCCACACAATCGTGCCTCCTGCCATGCCACACATGCAAGGCAAGAGGCATGATTGTGGGATTGCACATTAGCTCTCATAGTGCCTTACTGATTACTAAGGAAACACCTGGGCTGAGGGGAATCACAGCAGTTGTGATCCCCCAGCCTTCGGAGTATGTAAAACCCCTGATGAAGGGTGTGTAAAATGCCCGACGAAAGGTATTTGTGCCCGAAAGTTTGCAAAGAACTTTTTTCCAACTTTTTAGTTGGTCTAGAAAGATATCACATGTACCCAAAGAACCTTGCCTGCCTAAAACTGCTGACACCCCCCCAGAGCTGGGGCTGTTACAATCCCCCAGCCCCACGGGTTTCACGCACCCTCAAGGAAGCTGCATGCCCCTGGCTGGACTCAGCTGGATCCTGGCACCCAGTGTCTACCACTGCAGGACTCTGGGTTCCTGTGCTGCTGGGACCCAGAATGGCAGCTGCTGGGGCTGAGAGTTTCCTCAGTTATGGGACTCCCAACCCTGGCTGGGCATGGTGCATCCCTGAAGCTGGGAGCCTCATTAGCTAACAGAGCTCACAGCCACAGAGGAGACCCTGCTACATGTGCAAATTAAAGTTCAGTAGCAAACAACTATGAAGTTAGTACACATTTTTGAGGTCTAACTTTATAGCTGGCTGGAGGTTTTTATTGTGTGACAGGTACTTCACAGATGACACCAAGCTGTAGGGAGTGGTAGATATGCTGGAGGGTAGGGCTAGGATTCAGAGTGATAAAGATAAATTGGAGGACTGGACCAAAAGAAATCTCATGAGGTTCAACAAGGACAAGTGCAAAGTCCTGCACTTAGGATGAAACAATCCCATCCACCGGTACAGGCTGGGACCAGCTGGCTAAGCAGCAGCTCTGCAGAAAAGGACCGGGGGGTTACAGTGGACAGTAAGCTGAATATGAGTCAAAAGTGTGCCCTTGTTGCCAAGAAGGCTGTCAGCATACTGGGCTGCATTAGTAGGAGCATTGCCATGAGATAAAGGGAAGAAATTATTTCCCTCTATTCAGCACTGGTGAGGCCACATCTGAGTCCAATTTTGCCTCCTCCCGCCACAGAAAGGATGTGGACAAATTGGAGAGAGTCCAGTGGAGGGCAATGAAAATGGTTTCGGTGCCAGGGCCCATGACTTCTGAGAAGAGGCTGAGGGAACTGGGTTTATTTAGTCTGCGGAAGAGAAGGCTGAAGGGGGATTTTATAGCAGCCTTCAGCTACCTGAAGGGTGATTCCAAAGGCTGATCTTTTTCACTAGGACGGTCATGAAGCACTGGAATGAGTTACGTAGAGAGGTGGTGAAATCTCCATTCCTGGAGGTTTTTATGGCCCAGCTTGACAAAGCCCTGGCTGGACTTGAGGGTGGTTTTGGTTTGAGCAGGGTGTTGGACTAGATGACCTCTGGAGGTCCCTTGCAACCCTCACTTTCTATGATTCTATGATTGTATGATACTTTGCATGTGTAGCTGGTTTCCAGGTAGTTGCACAATTAAAGAGTTAATTGTGTGATACCTGTAATGTGTGGAGGGTGCCTGAGTGGCAGAGGATACTGGGCAAGATAAAGCTATGGTCTGAGCCAGTAAATGGCAATTTTTATGTTCTTAATGTATATATTAAAAAGGTTATCTAAATAAGGCTTGAGGGTTCTGTATACTTAGTTACCTACATCCAGGTACTCTGGGGTCAGTCACTGCCAGAAGGATTACCAGGTACTGAAAGGTCCATGTAAAAATAAATCTCACCTGAATTTTTATTGGATTCATCACTTTCTTTGTGATGGCACCTGGAGACCTGAGGCGTATGGCTTCCAGAACACACCACTTAATTAAGGGAAGCTTCTTAAGGTCATCTTGAGATATTTCAGTCTTGTCTTTACCTGTTGTATTATAAGAAATAAGACATGAAAAAGACATGAAGGAGGAATCCTATGGCTCATTTGTACACCTAAATGGCATTTTTTGAGCCTTATAAATGGCACTTTTGGCACTTGCAGGTTGTGATTCAATTACCCCTGCAGTGTGGATGTTCAAGTGTGCATGTACGCTCAGCAGGTGAAGTGGGCCATGCATTGGTTGGGTATATGTACTGTTATGTACATGTGCCTGTTGCGAATTCACAGGTCATGAAAATGTAGCTGAACCAAAAGCCATGACTCATAGGGAAAGGACGCTTTTCCCATGTTTTAGCCCCAACATTTGCCTAGGAAGCAGGAGATGCAGGTTCTACATTCTCCCTGTGCCCATAGGGAGCTGGACAAGCATCCCTGACTTGCCAGCACAGTGCTCTAACCACCAGGCCACAGGTTAGGCATTATCCAGTGCCTCTTCTGAAGCTGATGCTCTGAGAGAAGCCAAGAAAATGAAATATGTAGGGCTGGGAGAAAAAAAACAAAGTAGAGGGTGTGTGGCTCAGTGGGATGCCTGCTGCTCCAGGGGGTAGGAACTTGGTTCTAGCCTGGGCCCTTGCACCCAAAGGGGTAGAAACACAAAGTAAATTGATTTCTAATAACCTGTTCCGGAATGCTAGTCATTTATTACCTGCATTGCCAAAAACAGAAATGATGTCCTCCATGATCTTCTTGTAGATATCAGGGTGGGATATTATGAAAACAAGGGTCCAGAATGCTACCTAAGAGGAGACCGAAAGAAATCAACTCAGGAACAGCATTAAAACTTGTGATGGTCTTGAGTCAGAAAGCTTCAATCTGTTTGACCGTTCTCATATTTAAAGGTCTCTGGAGAATGTGTCCAGAAGACGTCACCATTCAAGATGTTCGTCACAGTGTGGTATGTGCCAGGCATTGCTACAGCTATGCTGAGGGTTGTTTGTAATTCCTTTCAGAGATACCTAAGCATCCTGACCTACATATTTTTTCTCACATAAGAGACATAATTCATGTGTAAAAGAATCACTGTCAATGGTGATATAGTTTGACCCTCTGCTTTTGCGCACTCAAAATCTAGGTGAGAAACTGCCACTGATGCAAAGAACAGACAACAGATCTGACCTTACCTAAGCACACTTGTTCTCAACTAGCAAAATCTCTTGTCTCCAGAAGATATGAGAAAAAAAAACTTTGTTGCTGCAGTAAAACTTTCAAACTCTGCAGAGTATGTATGATCGAAGAGCTGTGAACAGCTAAGAAAATGTCTTTCTCTTCCCTCTCTATGCTGAATAATAAGCCCATGGTAAATTCCATCTATACTATGGGGGGTAGGGGCAAATTATCATTTAATAATTTGAGATGGGCTGATTCAGCAGCAGGGAGTGATGTGTTCAAGTTCTGGACAGCTAACAATAATTTTGTTACTGAGTATATATTCTCTGCTCTCAGAAGGTGGGATCCAGGCCAATAATCCAGAATCCTCTCCTTGCTGTTCCATGAAAATGGTATCTATTTTTAAAAAGGATGATCCAAGGAATTATAGACTTTTCAGTCTAACTTCCATATCTTGAAAGAACAAATGATTAAGTGATTAATCTATAGCTTCCCAGTAGATTAACAAATGATAAGAAACAGCCAGCATGAGTCTGTCCAGAACAAGTTTCTTTCTCTGACACGGTAACTGGCTTAGTGGATAAAGGGGAAGCACTAGATATGTATGTTGAGGTTTTGGAAAGTTTTATATGACAATCTCAGCAGCAAACTAGAGGGAGATGGTTTCAGTGATGTTACTCACTGTAAGGTTGAAACACCATTCTGAAAAAATAGTTTGCAATCGTTTTGATGTCAAAGTGGAAGGACATTTCAAATAGAGGCTCTCAGGAGTTGATCCTGGCTTTGGTCCTATTCCACATTTTTATTAACCACACAGATGGTGGAATAAAGTACATTCATAAAATGTGCAGATAACTCCAACGCGGGAGGTTTTACAAGCAATTTGGAGGACAAAAATGATCAAAAAATCAGATGAAATTCAATCAAGACAGGCACAAATTACTACCCTTAGACAGGAAAAAAAAATCAATCATGCATATATAAAATTGGGAAGAATTGATTTGTTGCCATACAGCAGAAAATAATCTGGGCATTATGGTGGACTTCAAAGTAAATATAATCAACAGTGTGATGTTTCTGCAAAAAAACACAAATGTCATCCTGAGGTATATTAATAAGAGTGTCTTCTGGAGGATATAGGAAGTAATTATTCCATTCTACTCAGTGTGGTGAGGCCTCACCTAGAGCACTGTATTCAGTTTTGGGTCACATACTTAAGAATATATAGAGAGAGATATTACAGAAAGCATTATAATGCTATGGCATTCCAGTGAAGCACTGGAACAGGGTCTCCAGGGAAAATGCCTTTCATTGCATGTTTTCCAATTGACCTTAATCCTACCTTGGAACAGGGAAGGACTGATATCTACTTCATATCTCTTTTGGACCTACATTGCTATGATTTCATAAAGCTGTCCTTTTAGTTGTCCCACATAGCTCTTTGCCTTCCTCCTGTATTGTCTACATTAGAAACTCCTGAATGTAGATAGATTTGGGGAGAAACATTCTCAAACCAAAAAAATCTTTTTCCTAAAGGATCACTTGCACTTTAGTAAAGTTGCTTCATCTGTCTGGGCCATTTCAAGCCATGGATCTTTGCTCCTTTTGCAAACCCAATCACTGTAACTTCTTGGTGCTCAGATTTGTTTCCCCTTATACAGCCACATGAATCACTTTCTTATATCACCGCATTCTTTTCCTACTTCACTGCAACAAAATGAAGAGGAAAGAACATGTTCCCACATCCAACATACTCACAGGGACAGCATTTGCTTGAGAAGCCCAGAGCAGCAGAAGACTGTAATTGGGAGCGAAATGTTTATCAGGCAAAGTGTCCAGCAGGTGTTGCAGCACTGTCTGTTATAAATAAAAGAATTAATATGTGTATACATGCACACGTAACTTGGTGGGCGTCATGGAATGGTTTGCTAGAAGTCAGGTAGAGAATTCCCCCCATTTTTCACATAAAAGAAATGCTAAATACCAATAGCCTTCAGTAACAAAGTAACAGACAGGAGCTTTCCACAGATGGTGAAATTCATTCCAAGGTAGAGGCTAACAAGAGATGGATGCACCACTTCCAAGCCTCCTCAACGCCTAGGCTTGCCTATCACACGACTCAAGCTTTTACAACTAGCAGGGTTGAACTGCTCACACCCCATTTATAGCCATAAACTGAAGAAGGAAACAAGGTTTCCTGCTCTTTCAACTCCCACTCAGTTCCTTGACTCTGAATGCGCTGGGAATAGCACCGAAACAGATGAATAAACTGAAATGCAGAAAATACATTCCCTGTCCCACTGAAGCTACCACTGTCCAAAGCCAGCTTAGCACTTCAGCACTCTCAGTGACTTCCACCAAAGTAGCTTTCTTGAAAACTTTGGCAGCAAATATGAACTGCTTGAATATTTTAATTTAAATGTTTTAATAAGTTACAGTAAGATTAAGTCTTAAAATAGGTTCTTAGCTTCTCAAATTTAATTTGAATAGGTTTCCACTTGGCAGCAGGTCCTCTTCTAAAGCAACAGGGTGATTGTGCTAAGGTTTTAAAATGTCAGCTGCAGGACGTGCTGAACGGGCCTTTCTCTCGAGACCTTCATCTGCTCCTTTTGTCCATCATATGGATATCTAGAAGAGCTACAACAAACAGCCCCCCTGAAGGTAGCTGTCCTCAGTACATACTATAGTGTCTTGCTACCAAGTGTAAGTCATGTGTCTGCACCACAGTCAAATTATTATGCAGTAAACAATGTCATTTCTACACCCTGGCCTGCTGGCCCCAGTTACTTTTGTCATTATTTCCTGCTGTTATCCTTATACTCTTCATTCTTTCATGCTAACGATAATAGCAATGTTGCCCTGACATTATGTTTCATTTGCTGACTGATTACCTTAGATTCACTCTTTGAGGGATTGGTTCTTGCAGCAGCTGATGTCACTTTTTCCAATGTTTTTAGAAGCCACTGTCTGGATTTAGACCAGTTTCTGTGAAGCAAAAAAATAATTATGAAATGCCTTGAAATAAACTTGAGGAAACAATTGCAACATTAGTTTAATGAAGGAGGACCCCTTGCTTTCTTTCCAGTTGTGCTCAAAACACCTGCATAGCCCATTGACAAACAGATATAGAGCTGACAGTAAGCAATTTAGACTCAGCTGAAGTCAAGAGGAGTGCTGGGTGCTCAGTCCCTCTGAAGCTCAATAATGACCAAGCACATGGTCTTGTGGTCAGAACATGGAGCTGTCGGAAAGGACTCGTGGACTTGAATGCCAGCTGCACTACAGGCTTCCTATAAGATTTTAGACAGAGGCCAACATTTTCAAGAAAAACTCCTAAATGTGCATGCCCAACTTGGGAAAGCAAAAATTTGATTTTTGGATTTGTTCAGTATTCACAATTCCCTCTGCAGGCAGGCAATGAAATTTTAGATGCTCAGGGCTAAAAATCAAGCCAAGATAGCTCAAGCTGGGTACTGAATGTTGAAGGACTAGTCTCGGTTAGGGGGATAACAGGAAATATTTTCCTAAAAAGTTCACACACTGGTTTCCACATGGGTTTAATCCCACTTACCTCAGTGAAGCCACTGGCATACAAATATAAGCAAGAGGAGAATCAGGTAGATATTTTTTGAGGCACGTGGCTAGAAATCAAACTGACTGAAGGGTGGAATGCAGCTAAAAGCAGAACATAATTTTCCCAGGGAAATGCTTCTAGGATGGATAATATAACAGGCAAGAAGTATTTAATGGGATTGCCAGAGGTACTCCCCAAAAACTGTCACCTCAAAAAGCACACTGGCATCTGAGATGCATATTCAAAGTCCTCATCGAACATCTGGAAATGCTCTTCAAACTCACTGATTTCACTCCTGCTCGTTGGCCAGATATCTTTTCCAAACAAGGTATTCACTGCTGCCGGATACATGATGTGCCTAGAACCACAAAACCACAGAATTATAGAAAAGTAGATCTGGAAGGGACTTCAGTGAGAAGAACCCCATGTTCAAATACAACGCAGTCCATAGACTCACGCAGCAATACAGCTGGCACAGCAGCTAGCTGCAGGGAAGCTGCTCTAGCAGGTGTCAGGCAAGGATGCGGTGCATTTGATTACTGACATCCAAACAACTCTCTGGGCTAACTGTGGAACTGTAACTGGTGTGTTCCCGAGCTGTACATAGGGGCCAGCTTCATGTAAGCTCTTACAAAGCAGAGCCAGTGTGATGCAAGGACCTTCTGCACAAGTTTGAATTTTTCCACTTATTGACAACCCTGCTCACTTCAGCGGTCACAGAACGGCTTGAGGCACGGGATGATCCCTCTGCCATAAAACAGCTGGCTTATTCTAGCGAGGCACCTTCCTAGAGCTTCATTCACCAGAGGCTGCCCCAGGACTCCCGAAAATGTAATCTCATCTCCAGCTGCATAACAATCCCCATAACAATTGTACAGGATGGAAGGATGCTCTTTTTGCCTCTGTCTCACTCCACAAGCTCCTTACTTATCAATGACCTAGCAAACCCTATGCACATCCTCTGTGAACTTCCTCCGGGACCAGGAGATAGTAAAGTGCCTTCCAGCCCCTAACATCTATGAATCGATGAACCTATGAATTCTAGCACATCTTTCCCCTGAGGTCCAGACACTATTTCACTTCACCACATTTGCCTTTCTAACATATGCAAGACAGAGCCACCTTCTGGGCGAATGGAGTCCAAATCAGGGTCAGCCAGACAGATATTTTGCAGCCATACACAATCCAAGTCTTTTAGCCCGTACTTTATGACAAAATATAAACAGCATGAAATATATTTATCTGTGTCCATCTACTTTGTCTGTGGCTTATGACTTTTGTTATGACCTGTGTTCAAGTAGAGACTCTCAGAAGTCGGTCCTGGGTTTGGTCCTACTCCACTTTTTTATTAACCATACTTTTATTTTATTAACCACATTTTTATTAACTTTTAGACAAATAATATCTGATCTATTGAATACTTTTTTTTTTTTAAATCTGGATTAGGATAGCATGCAAAGGGTCACAGGCTTGCCCACATGCATCTCAGCCACATAGTTGGGAAGGGCATTGTCTTAGCAATGCTGCTACATTGAAATATCTGGTTCTGCTCAGGCAAGTGTATCAATTATTAGTTGTTATTTGTATGATGCTAATACCTAATGAACCTCTGTCAAGGATCAGAACTCCTTTGTGCCAGGTGCTGTACAAACGGAGGAAAAAAACTGTGGTTTCAGTACCAGAGAGCTTACAAATGAAATATGAGAGACTAGACAACAGATAGATGGAGCTAGATACGGGAGTAGAAGGACAGTAATAATTAGCATGACCAGCGGTTGACTGCAGCACAGTAGCAGCCTAACCACTGTCAACTTTGCTTCACAAGAGGAGGGTGTTCATAAGAGGAACCAGAGAAGGATAAAGAAATATTTTTGCAGATATTCATGGATGGCTCCCTACAACCATAAGAAGCAACATGGAAGAAGGAAATTTCTAATCCTGCTCAAGGCCACATAAATAGATGCTTCCCATTCTAAAGTGAGGACCTTCATAAACATATAAACCCTTAACTAAAGGGCCTATTTACAAATCTCTTGCATAGCACAGAGCTTGTTTTTGTCAGCTCCAAATCCATACCTCATATTTCTTCATGGCATCCAGGCCCATCATTTTTATGGTCTGCACCTACCAGCTCTAGCTTACCCAGTACAGCAAGATAAACACTGGCTTGTACACTTTTAATCAGCAACCTAAAGCTTCAGCTCATAGGCTTTGTAGTAATGCTGATACAGCTCCTGTTTATATCACAAAGCATGTGGAGATCCATGCAACAAAGCTCAACCGCAGCATCCACGTACCTTACCAGATCATGGAGTTCCTCCGTTCCCTCTGTGCCCAGCTGTTCCACAAACTCATGCAGTTCTTTACAGAGAGTCTTCATGAATATGTGCAAGTTAGGGGGAGCCATTTTACCTTTCAGCATGACGTACAGATTGTAACGGTTCTTATAAAAGACTTTTGCAGGAATTGAAACTTTAAATACAAAAAAAAAAAAAAAAAGAAAAAGAACATTTTGGAAATTATTCAAGGTAAATTATAAATGTGGAAGTGCCTCCTTCCTGTGTAACATGTGACCCAAGTTTGAACACAATCTACTGTCTCGTCTAGGGACAAAATCCACACTTCCTGAGTTTTTGTGCCCACAAAACCTTCCCTAAGAACTTTCAAAGGATTCAGTGGTCATAAACTTCCTCTCTGCCCACCTTTCCTTCTGTTACTCACCCTGTAAATGCCTTCCTTTTGCCCCATAAAGCTTCTGTTCAGGTAATAAACACGCAAGAGATTGTTCCCTGAGTTGCATGAGTGATGGCAAGAGATATGTTCTGGAGTTTCATGTTCTCTGCTCCATAGTCAGCAACGCTCACCTACTAGACTCTAGGTGAAATACAAGGACTTAGTGTTAAAGCTCTAAATCCAAGGGTGCTGTTTTATCTTTATCCATTCCACCTAGAGCTGCAGTGGGCCCTAGGAAGCATTTGCAGGTGGAAGCTGGCAGGAGTGTGAGAGTGAAACTACCACCTGAGCATAGCCCAGGGCCTCAGCAAATGGTAATAGCATCACCCTGCTGGCAGGAGTGAGCCAGACACCATGGTCAATAGCCCAGGGGTTAAGAGTAGGGTCTGGGTGTGGACAGCAGGTGTGGAGTGACTGCTGTTCTGTCTGCTCCTTATAATATTGTGGTCTCTTTATTCAAAGGTTGTATTAAATTGTTGATTCCAAGACCTTCCCCTGACCAAAGTTTTGGAGGGGTTTTACATGTTTTTATATTTGTAATAGGGCCTGATCCCACTGTCATCTGCACAGGCTGTCATTTTTGACCTGGCCCAGGGCATGTCAGCAAAGAGTCAAGTCCTGTGTGGGCAAATATTTACAAGAATGCCTTTTCGACTCTTGTCCTGATTTTTTCACCAATCTCATGATGTTTGGTGTTTTTTGATGCCCAACTACTAAAATTAAGAGACTAATACGTGTATTTAGGACCTGACTGAAAGGCCACTGAACCCTGGATCAGGGCCCTCAGTGTTGATGGGCTGGTAGGTTTGATTCCCCTTAGAAGTGAGAGAGAGAGATTGTTTACCTGTGTGTTTGACGGCTTGCTGCACTGCCTGCTCAAAATTGACATCCTTAGACATGAAAAATGCTTCAATCCCCTCTTCCTCAGTCACAAAGGTATAGCGATGTCCCAGAGCAAACACTGTGAATACGGGCCCATACTGGAATGAATAAAGAGTTAAAAAAATAAGGATGTCATTGCTAATACATCTGATGCAAGACCATGGCTGCAACCCTGCAAATACAACAAATGGAAACACATCAATATTTAACTAACAAACAGAAAGAGCAAGAAAATGGCAAGAGAGCAGAACCCAGGATTTGGGGACATACCCTTATCACTGTGCCACAGTCACACTCCTCCTTTCCCCATGAATGCTTCCCCCACTTAGCCTAGTTTGTGGCCTGGTATTTAGGGCACTTTTCTGGGAAGTAGACGTGGTTATGAGTCCTTTGTGGCTGAGGACCTCAATCCCAGGTTTCTTACTTCCTCAGTGAGTGCTCTAATAACTAGGCTAGTGATTTTTGTCCAAGGTGCCAAGGCACCATGGGGTGCCTTGAGATCCTTTCAAGGGTGTTGCAGGGTGCCACAAAATGTTATCACTATTAGATTTGCAAACATAATTCACCAGATGTGGTGTGAGTGAAACAGAGATGCATGCAGCCATTAGGGGTGTGTGAAATGGGTCATATTCAATTTGGATTTGGCCCGAATCAGGGACAGTGATTCAGTTCATTGATTTGGATGACTGTCCTGATTCAATTTGGCTGAATCCAAATCTGAAGATTCAATGCTGATTCAAAGAATCATCGATTTGGCCATACACACATCTTTATATGGTTTTTCTACATACCTCGAGGTAACAGGCGTGGCTCATGAATGCTGCGATGCTGGGGTGGATGGAGCATCCCACAGGAGCATCCCTCGCCACACCTCCCAGGCTTGACAATTGGCTGTGGGGGGACCCCAGGTGCCCCCCCAGATCCAGGAGGCACCAGTTACTGAGCCAGGGGGGCAGGGGTCCCCTGCGCGCTCCCCAGTGGACCCAGAAGTGGATTGGAAGTCTTTCTGGTC